AGTGAATCACCATATTTTGCAGGGATACTTTTTTTAATAACAGAAAATTTGAAATAAAAGCTGAGAATAATCAATTGTGTAAAATTAAATTGTCTCATACTGCGATAGCTAAATTCAAGCATTTTTTTAAAATTTCAATTGTAGCAGGTGGTTCGTTATAAATAGCTTTGCTTAAACCCAAAATAAAATCAAGCAAAATTTTCAGTATATCTGTATTATTTCAAATTAAAAATACTAAATTTATATATATTTTTTTTCAGTGAATGTATGCCATTTTCAATTCAGTTTGGATATTGCATGTTCAGTATACCATTAACAAGAAGAATTCAAATGTGTATGCAGTGGAAATGGGGTTACACAAAGTGTCAGTGACCTAATTTAAGATAGAGATAAATTTACAGATATTTACTCTGTTATTTTTGCTTTAATTTAGAATTTATCTGTTTAACTATAATACTTAAAAATGTGAATATTTCCGTTTTGAGAAAACAAATCTTTATTTAATTGATTAAAACAGGAATAATAATTGTGTAAACACATAGACAATTGTTAATGGATTACCACAAAACACCATGGAAACGACTCACAAATAATGGAGGCAGCGAATTTAGGTTAGAGGTCAAGGTCACCTTGACATGGTTATGCTAATATGCCACACATTTTGGTTCTGGCAGTCTCACTAGATGCCATGTTTGATAAAACGGATCTGCTCATGGTATTATTTTTATTTTACTAAATCCAGAAAAAACGGGTGTTTGCAACTAATATTTTACAAAAAGGGAGAGACGTTATGCAAATTGTTTCATCAATATTGGCTTAATTTTGTTTAGTCCTTCTTAAAGATTTCCAATGAAATAACTTTTTGTTGATTTTGATTCAGAGATGATTTTGCTGTTGTTGAAAATCTGAAATACATTATTTTTATTTTATAAAATTTTAGTAATCATCACATATCAGACCTAAAACATGAAATAAAAGTACCATCATTTTAAAATTTGAAAGTACTTTAGATTACCAAAATGTTTGCTATTAAGGTAGAGATGCAGGTTCGTGGGCATTTTTGTTTTTCCTTTTTATTATCCAAACAGTCTTGGCTATAGACTGTTAAAATTTTGTAGAATTGTGAATAGTGGAAAATACTCAAAAAAAAAACGATTTTAAAAAATAGATAACAGGTGCAAACATTCTCTCTTTTGAATGCTTAGCAAGATTTAGCAAGGCTGTACATACATAATCAAAAAATTGACAATTGGTAGACTGTTTTCAAGACGGCACTTTCTTCATAGTAAACAGATGTACCAATAAAACCAATTTTGACAGGAAAATGAAGCATGGTTCAAAAGCTATTTTTTTTTAATCACTTTTGACCAAAAAAGCACATTTGTGTGCATATTTCAAACTACAGTGTCCATTACAAGTTTATTGTCATAAATGGAAACTTCAGGTAAATCTGACAAAAACAAAAGTTGTTATTTTCAGACAAGGAACACTAAAAAATACAGAAAAATTCTATTATAATGAACAAAATATTACCTGTGTAGACATGTACAACTACCTGGGTATAAACATAAAGTCAAATGGCTGCTACACTGAAGCCAAACAAAATTTAGCAGATAAAGCAGCCCGAGCAATGTATGCATTGAAACAGTTCCTACCACCAGAAACAAATTGTAGAACTTTCATCCATCTTTTTAAAAGGTGTATTCAATCAATATTATTGTACAGGTCTGAAATCTGGGGTCATGAAATTCAGATTACACAAATGGGACAAAACAATAACAGAAAAAACACATT